GAAGTCGTAATGATGACCAGGATGATGATAATGATGACGAATATGAGGATGATGATGATGATGATGATGATAATTATGATGAATATGATGATGATGGTGGTGATGATGATGATGACGATGATGGTGATGATGATAATGACGATGATGAAGATGATTGTGATAATGATGAATTTGATGATGGCGATGATGATGATGATGATGATGATGATGATGATGATGATGACGATGATGACGATGATGATAATGATGAATATGATGATGATAATGATGATGATAATGACCCCATACAAAATAAAAGGTTTTTACTTTTATTAGATCAATTTGCGTGCTCTCAGCAGACGGAACAACATGATATCCGCTCGCAAGTAGTCCTCTTCCTTCGTGGTCTTTGTTGTTGTTGTTGATGTTTGTTGTTGTTGTTTGTTGTTGTTGATGTTGTTGTTTGTGGTTGTTGTTTGTTGTTGTTGATGTTGTTTGTTGTTTGTGGTTGTTGTTATTGATGGTTGTTGTTGTTGTCGGTTGTTAGATGTTTCAATGGTTGTCCTCAGTTGCATATTTAAAATGTTGTTGTTTGTTAATTGCAGCTCGAACTGCTGATTAACTTTTTATTGGAAGTTGATTGTTGTTGTTTGTTGTTGTATGTCGTTGATGTTTGTTGTTGTTTGTAGATAATTGTTTTTGTTTGCTAGTTGTCGTCTGATGACTTTGATTTTTTTCTCTAAAAAGTCAGAAATATTATTTATAAACCTCAAAACATGAAGCCTGTTGAAGCTGACGACTTCAACGTTAAAACACAATTTTACAATTTATTCACCGAATTCTAGAAGAAGCTTCAGCAAGCTTTTTCTCAACAAGAAATCTTTGAAAAACTACCACTTGATAAGAAATCAATATTGATGAATCTGACATTTTATCGTCGGTTTGTTAATGTGGATGGCAGGTTTTAATAACATGAAGGAGTAACATCGTAAGAGCTCGAAAATAACCATAGCATTGAATCATCGGCCGAAATAACCTAACTCCGTTATTGTCAAATATGATGTTTAAAGATTCATAGCAACTTCTCAGTTCACCGATTTGTCTGTCAGTCATGCTCAAACCCCCACAAACACTTAACACCAAGTCAATAATTGATTGTACATTCCAGGTTTTGAAACATGTCAATCTCATTTCCAACATCCAGTTTATCACCAAAACTCAATATTTGTTGCTATCCAAGGACAAATTTTTTCATGTAGAAAACAAATGCTCCTACTCAGGATCTTTATTATCAATTATTTCTACTTAAATTCTTTATTTCATTTTATTAAGTTTTAAAATTTTAAATGATCATAAAAGAAAATTTTCTCAACGTAATCTGTCATTTTCAATTATAATCGGCACTTCTCAAGTCACATAATTATAACTGCTTAGCT